TCCCACAGAATCCCTAAGAGAGCAGCAGCATCAATGTCAGGGTGGATTTCTCCAGGGATCGCTGATGGATTTTCAGGGGAGCATCCTCGGCAAAGCAGCCTTTCTGTCTCTGTGGATGCCCCTTAAAATCTGTGATGCCCCATGGTGCATGCTCTTGGAAATGACTTTTTACCGGTTTGAAGGGTGTAATCATCACTCCCCTCCTTCTGATCTTTTTTCGGGGAAGGGGCGCTTTATTCCACTGGGGTGGGGGACAGATATAGGGCAGGAAGGATGGGTGGCAGATAGCATAGCTCCGTGTTGTATTTCAATGGGATGGGGGGAAGCAACAGGGGTGTGGTGTAGTATGGGGGGGGGGAGGTGTTCGTAGATCTATAGATGCTTGCATTAATTGGCTGCAGTTTACAGCCTGGGTTTATCGCTCAGCTTTTAATTAACTGTTTCCGGATTTAATCTCACAAATGTTCCATCTTCGTCCTTGTTTAATCTGGTATTCTAATGGCGAGCTTATTTATGCAGGTCAATACTGTTTACAAACATGAAAGCCGCCTGTTGGTTTTTGAACTTTAGACACGATGACATCGGTTATCAATAGCGAAAGCAGCCTCGGCAGGTGGCATGTCAATATGCAGCCAGTCAATATTCAGAGAGCAGCGAAGATTAAAAATTCTTTTAGCAGGAGTGGGAGGGGGCTCCCTGATCTCCTTGTCCTATTATCATATTGAGGATTTAGGATCTCCCCCCATCCTTTATTCCCCCTTCATTCCCAGCCATCTGAATGGAGCACTAATGAGGATAATCAGGTTATTCAAGAACATTCATTGTAGGGGGAAAGAAACCCAAAACCATTGCACAAACCTGCTTGGGAAGGGCTTTCTTTTTTAGAATTTCCTTCAGTTGTCAGTGAGTTTCTCTCCATTGAAGACTTGAGGTAACAGGGATGAAAGGTGGGCTTGTATTTTTCACTTGCTCTCAGGACCTACCTTACCATTTATTTAATTTGAAATTACTGATAGCGCTGATTATTTTTTGCTGAGCTACTCCAGTTTTTCGCTAGTGAAACTCCATTGAATTCAGTGGAGTTACACCAGCATGAAACTGGAGGAACATACTGGAAAATCAGGTTTAGGGGCTATAAAAAAAACACCTTTAAAAAAAACCATCTTGGACAGTAATCGCTTGGTTTTGCACCAGGAATAATATGAAGTCCTGGAACAAAGGACTGGGTAACACTTGATTTAGGACCCAATCCTGCAGTCATTACTCCTGATTCTCTACTCACTTGCACCTTGCTTAGTCACTTTCACTGATGCAAATGTATGTCTTCCATCTGTGTTGCACAGGGGTAAATGACTAAGGCCCCAGTCCTGCAAAGACTTATGCACATGCTTATTTTCATGTGCTGTGCGTGGTCCCGGATAAAGTCAATGGAACGATTTGTATTTGTATTTGTATAACGTTAAGCACACGGGGAAACCTTTTCAGAATGAGGGCCCGGGTCCTGTAGAGAACCAGGTCAAAGGGCGTTTTCCTCAGTAAAGATTACAGATCAGGGCCTGATTCTGATTTTATAGCAGTGTTCTCCTAATTTACATTGGTGTAAATGAGCTTGCACAGCTCTATTATTATTATTTGTTTGTTTGTATTACCATAGCATATGCTAGGTGCTGTACAAATATATATGTTAATTCCATGCTTGCTGTAAATATGGCTGTTAGTTGCTACCCCTCCATTCACAAGCTTCTAATAATCAATAAACCATAGTGTTGGTGAGTCAGACGCATGCATACCCCATCCTGTCTGTAATAATACTTTGCACTTAATTACTGGCATTGGGCCTGTTTCTTTTCTCAGTTATACCAGGGCATGACCAGGTATAATTCCATTCAAATCAGTAACATTGTAAAATGTGTGCCTTTTGGTGTAGAACTCTTTGTATAACGCCAATGACTGTTTAGGAGTATGTTATCAGACTGCGCAGGACTTTAATAATTCACTTCCTTATTACACTATTACACTTCCTATTATATTACACTGTGCTGGTAAGGCCTGGGCATAGATTAAGGGATCCAGTCCTTTTATTTAAACTTTTGCTTTGACTTTTAAGTTTCAGACATCTGCCTTGTTTAGCTGACATTTGACACTTTGTTTATTTTTGTGTCCCTTTTCAATTATTTCACCAGGGACAGGCTCCTTCTGTTTACAATCATGCCATTTGCATGCGGATCCCTCGCATTGCTTTTAGCAAAGACCCTCCACAGAATCCCAAGAAGCTGTTTTATTGCAACCTGCCTGAGGATTCCGGAGGGAATGTCATTACTTGGGTTGATTTCTTCCCCCCAAATTACCTGCGAGAGGGAGAGTGCTCATTCCTGAACCAACTGCCGGAAACACAGGATCACACTGGGAAGCTACAGTAATGCAATGCTCCTTAAAACAAAGCCCTGAACATATTTTTACACAACCCACCCTTGAATGCAGTCCCGGCGGCTACAAAGCTGCCCATCTTTTCTCTAGCAACTTGTGGTTCACCACAGCCTTTGTAACGTTGGCAGAGTAGGAGCAAATACTCGATCATTTCTGCTTTATTCTCTTTAGCCACAAAACCCAGCTCCCAAAGCGCAGTGCTGTTTTTAATAATGACATCTTGAGCGCCTTTCAGAGCCTGTCTGAAAGAAAATACAGGCCTTTAATAAGTTATTTTAATGCCCTTAACTCTGGAGAAAAGGAAGCAGGGGGACATACATCTCTGCAAAAGTTTCAGAGTCTGGAAGAATCTGATTCAGAAACAAAAGCCTTTTGAATCTCTCTTGATTCCCCCCCCCCATTCCTGATCTTCCCCTCTCTTTCTTCCTTCCTTCACGTTCCCCCCTCCCCTGCTGAGCAGTAACAGTGCCAACTTATCAGATACGTTTAGCTGCCAGCTTCCCAGATCCTTTCCTTTGAATGTGACCTGGCAGCAGCTTGGTGGAACTTTTCAACTGTTATATGTGTCATATGCTATGAAGAAGAAGAAAAACGGAAGTATAATGACTACTGGAATACATGATTCATGGCAAAGTCAAGAGTGGGGGAATGCGAGGCAATTTATTTTAACCCGTAAGGCAACTAACTATCCAACAGGAGACGGAGATGAGGAAACAAGCATTGTAATATTTTGCCTTCATCTGAGGATCTCAATCCCCTTATAATCAGCTATGAATTAAGGCTCATGACAGCCCCTTGGCAATGGCATGAGAAAAAGCTAGGCAGGGGGAGTGAAAATGAAGGGGCCCTGAAGCAATATGGATAGCAAGCGGGCTGTCTAAAGTGGGTGACAGGACAGTGGTTACACCTGTGCCACAATGGTTGTGTCATTCAATCAGTCTGACACGGGGGAAATGAAGCACTTAGCCGTTAAGTGACTTGTCCATAGTAAGACGGCAAGTCAGTAGTAGATTTGAGATTAGGAACCAGGTATCTTGACTTCCAGTCTTCTGCTTTAACCACTAGATGATACTGCCTGTCTTTAAAATAAAAATCCCCAGCGTAGAAACATGCAGCTTCACCTCCGTGAGTGCCTGTTCAGGAAATGGTCTGTTCTAATACATCAGATTACTATAAAACAATGACCATCCTGTGTGTCGTTGTAATCATTTTTTTAAAAAACAGGGAAAGTATGACTCAGAACACTGGTCCTCCTCCCAGCACTGCCACTGTCTCACTGAGGCCAGTCACCTAGCCTGCTTTTGTGCCTTAGTTTACCCCTCTGTAAACCAGATATAGTAATCATTTTTCATTATTAAGTACCTGGAGGAAAGTCTCAGGCGCAAATAAAGACAGCCCTTGCCCTGAAGAGTTTGCTGGTCCTCAGCTGCCCCATTAGCAATGTCAGGAGACTTAATGAATTACTTTTGCCAAGCGCTTTGAGACCAGGGGTTGACAGGCACTATAGAAATGTAAAATATAATGATTAATTGACTTTTCTTGGTGGGAAGTTGGTCACTTTGCACCAAGAGAGGTGCCATCCTCTCTTCACTTTCTGTGACTGGCAAACCAGAGGGAGTGTTTAACTTTAAAAAAAAAACCAACATCTTTACAAAGTAACAAATTAAGATGCAAATCTGGAGGGGGGGGGTTGGGTTTTTTTTTTTTTTTTTTTGCTAATTGGCAGAAAATTAATGAACGTGTAGCTGACTGAGCAGATGCTCTCGTCAAAAAAGGCAGATTTGGAGTTTCTCTAACCCTCCTTTTTGAAAACACATCAAGAAGGCAGTAGCATGTGGCAGGTCAGGAATTAAGCGAAGGTAACTGTACAGATTGTAAAGAACACAAAGGAGGGTTTTATGCGTGTGTGTGTGTTTTTTTCTTCTCTCTCTTTTGTTTTAACTTCCTTGCATTGGATTTTATTTTATTTTTTTAAAACCCATATTCCTCTGCAGCTCATAATTAGCAGCCAGGCCTCTGGGACCTAATTAACCAATTCAATTAACAAAAAAAGCATACAAGTCACCCTGACATTTGTCAGCCATTAGGAGGGATGTGAGGCTGGCTGGTTCTGCCGACATACTAATGATGATTAGCTCATTTGCAGCTCACTTTTACCCTAGGTGTCCACCTGGAGAGACTGGCACAAAATGCTCTTCAGAGAGAGAGGGGTTGGGGCTGGAGCTGGGACTGGGAAGAACATGGCCATGACCCTCAAAGGGAGTTATGACCTTTTATTGAACGTACAATCAATATGTTTTTGCCTCAGTTAAGAGAAGCTGCTGTCCCCTCCACCAGCTTCTATGCTTGCTAACCTTCAGAGGAGCACTAGCCCGGAGAGCCGGGGTCCCATACTTGCCTCAGGGGCTAAAATCCCTTGTTTTCAACTCCTTCGATGGGAGAGGCCTTTCTTTTCCTTGTCGATAGCACTCTTTGCTTGCTTACCACAGCAGGGCTCCTTCGCTTGGCTGGGCTGTTTCTTAGTTCAAGCCAAGCTCTTTGTTCTTGGGATTGATTAACTACAGCACTCTATATAATATAGGCAGATATTTATATAGGCGTCGCTCCCATCCCTGCTTCTGATCTTTCTTCATTTAACTCCATTTCCCCAACAGCTCTGGTTTGGTAACAAGCGGCTGATTACGATGGAAGTGAAACCCCAGAAAAACACGGGGCCGAAGTGCTGACAGGTTGAGGGGGCATGTGCCAGTTGCTTTTTAACAACGAAGAGCAACTTTCCCTTTCCCATTTAGGGGGGGATGTCGCTGCCCGATTTCAGTCTCTCTAGATATTTGCGTAGTGCTTGTCATCCGAGTGTGCACCAGATCCAGCTGCTGTTGAAATCAATGGAAAGAGGCCCATGGATTCAACGGGATCAGGCCCTTGCAGCGCTTTGTCCAGAGGAGCGAAATTCCCTAATGCTATAAAGACTTCAGAAGAGGCACTGTGGGTGCAGGCATGGGGGCGGGGGGCAGCTATGGACTCGGATTGTATGCAGTGGAGAGGTGTTTTGCACCAAATCCAGCCTGGTGGGAGTTTTTGGCAGGATAGGAGCATGGTCCAATGACTTAGGCCCCGGGTTGCAAGCTAGCCAGCATGGGTACTATTCCCAGTTCTGCTGCTGACCTACTGTGGAAAGTCACTGCACCTGTTTCCCCTCCTACCTGTTGTTTAGTTAGACTGCAAGCTCTTCAGGCCAGGGACTTTCTGTGCCCATGAGTAGTGGGGCTTTGTTCTTGGTCGGCCCTCTGGGTGTTATTGTAAATCATACCATAATAATGGCTAGTGCTTATGCTGATCCAGTGGTCATAATCTCCACTGCAGGGTTTACACAGGGGTCATGGCAACTATTTCCCTCAGTGCATCTGGAGGGGCTGTGGAGCTGGCCCTGCCCTCAGTAGCGCTGGTCCCCGCACCCGTTTATAGATCTCTACACAATCTATTTGCCTGGAATCTTCCACGAGCTTGGGTCTGTGCATTTCATTCTCCTTACCTATTATTCTGGTCTATAATAGTTGTCCAACTGCCCCAAGAAATGGCAACTTTGCAGATCACTGATGGATATGCATAAGTAGGTTTCAGCCTGGGTTGATGTTTCTAGCAGGTTTTCTGCTGATGGGATAAACTGTCACCTCTCTGTATCCAGAGATGAGAACAACAGCAAAGTAAGGATTGAAAGACACAAGGAATGACTTTTTACTGGAGCAGAAAGCATCCTGTATTTTAAAGGGATCTGTAAACTGTCCTTAATTTGAAGTCATCTTCATTCCAGGTATGTCTTGATTAATTACCATGAGGCTGATTAAGCTCCTTGTGCAAAGCAGAATCTGTCACACTAGACAGAGCCAAACATTCCATCCAGGAAATGTACAGAGCACAATAGTAAACATATAGAATTGGAACCATTCATGTATTAACAATCTAGTGGCAGCAGCCTTTTATTGTCATACACATTGTTAAACTCACAAAGAGCAACTGGTAGGTTAAACCTATTTTAGCTGGCAAAGCTCAACAAAAATCCTTGCCACCAAGCATTTGATACTGATCACAGTGTCACATCAGGGAACAGCAGCTCAAAAGAACAAGTCATTTTTATTTCTGAACTTTACAGGCGACATCCTCTCCTCTGCTCCGGCTCCCCAGGTCTTAGTCCTCTTAGGAGGAGGAGGGGTTTTTTTGTGTGCCACTCAATGACAGCAGATTCATGGGGGGAAAAAAAGAAGGAAACATACAATGCTGCATTGAGGCAGCAGAGGTGAACTGGGAATTCATTCAGTGTGAATGTCGTGCACCCGAGGGAAATCAAATCCAAACCTTGGAATTACAACAAAGGGCGTGGCTTCGGGTTTGACTTTTGACGGCACCATTTGGAACAATTATGGAATAAAACAGCTGCAGTATAGTGGTGAGATCTCTGACCTAGACTGTCTCCCTAGAGACATCCTAAATGGGAATCCACACAAAAACCTCTACTCAACTTAGTTTCTTTAAGTTACAGACATTGGCAGTAATTTATATATTTTTCCCTTTGCGTTTTCTAGGCAATGGGAAAAATATATGCCCAAATATATATATATACATA